TACCAGGCAGATAGGTGATGCTTGCCAGTAAAGATAAGGAACAGTGGGATAGACCAGCCAGCTGCATTGATCCCAGCGATAAACGTTACCCACTCTCGGCCACCTGGTTGAACAGCCTTTGGCCGGCCTCTTCTCTCTAACGCTGTAACGACTAGCTAAGTCGCGATCTTGCCCATCATAAAGCCCGCTTCGTCGAAGTTGTAGACGTCTTCGTCACAGATGCCGTACTTGGCCTTTGTCTTCTCCACAAGCTCAAACCAGCTCTTGATTAAGACTGGATCTTCACACAAGGCTCTCTGCCTATCGTACGCTCGATTAAAACGCGTTGTAAGACTGTCAGTACGCTTGACAAAGTTGCGCGGCCAGTGGACGCCAACCTGGCCAGCGCCGCGCGCAGCCAGCAGTCTATCAGCCATATCTCGCACAGCTGCATAGGTAGGCGAAAATCCACGTAGATCCAGATTAAGTACATGATCAATTATCACCTACTCTTCTAGCTTGGTAAGCTTCTTTGAGTTGGGCTGGCAATCGCGTCGGGCAGGCTTGCCGACGCGTCGGCGGCGGATTGTTCGTTCTGACACGTTATAGATAGCAGCAGCACTGCGATTACTCTGTATCTGACTAGATTCAATAGAGGATATAGCGAGCTGGATATCTGCTTCATTTAAAGCTAACTAACTAGCGTTGCGTTGAGCCATTATGTATTGAGATGAGAGAGGTGCACAAAGTTAGTGGGGTGCGGCGCTCGCTTGTACGCGGCGCTCGCTTGTAAAACACGTTAAGCAACCAAAAAACCCACTTTTTTACACGCAGAGTCGTGACCTCTTGCAGGAAGTCAAGGTCAAGCATTGTGGTTTCGAGGGGCATCTTCGTCCACGGAGATAAGACGGCCGGTGGCTGCAAAAAAAAAAGACAAAGACAAACACGGATTGCGGATAGCCAAGCGCAGAAAGGAAACTGGGGGGGGGGAGGGGGGAAAGTGGGAAAGGCCCGCGCATTCGATCTTCCATCTTCCCATTACCGTTACCGTTACCGTTAATCGTTCTCCCCATGCCTCCCCAGCTTCTCGGCCCGACACGGGGCAAATATGCTGGTCGCATTGCAACCACCGCCACACCCACAGGCGTACCATGGCCAATCCAAGACACACCACCGCCACCACCACCACCACCATCATGGCTGCAGCGCAGGGCGAACAGTTCTCCCCCGCTTACAACCCCCCCAGCACGTCAAGATCTGAGAAAAACCCGAGTACCAAAAGACAACACTCCCATCTACCGGGAAGAAGACAAAAAAAACAAGCCGCGTGTCTGACAATTAATGCAAGCAACGTGTCCCCCTTTTTATCTTTCTTTCAATGCTGCCTCTCTTTTTTTTTTAAAAATCCCCCTCCATCAGCCTGTCCCATACATACCACGACACACGGCGCAACCACCCCCAGACCGAGCATGACGTGTTCCCTTGCGATGAACATGGTGGGGGGGGGGGGCAGTGATGTACTTGCAAAGAACGAGTATTAAAAAAAAAGAAAGGATGAGTCGCAAGGGCGGCGGCGTGCGACGTGCCGAAATGATGTACCGGCACTTTACCCTCGCCCTGCTCCCCCACGCACACACACAGCACACACATGAAAGCGAACTTGAAACCCTGTCTGTTGCAAAGCTTAGCTGCCACCTCAGGTACCTCATCCTTTGTTCGTGCTTCTGCTTCCTCTTTTCTGCCACGCACGCTGTCACTGTCACGAAATATCACACACATGGACACATGGACACGTATGCGCGCGGACGACGACATGTGTAAGCGCTTGTCTTGATCCCCTTCTCTCTCTCTCTCTCTCTCTCTCTCTCTCTCTCTCTTCCTCCTCCTCGCACAGATTCGCCCATTTCACAAGTGTCAGAAACCCCCACCACCAACTTGTTTCAAGAGTCATTTTCCCTTTGTTCTCTCATATCGACTGTGTTATTTATGTACTCTAATTTTTGCTATGTACCTATATGTGCCTGTGTCAACTGCAACTGATGCCAAAAACAAAAAATGTCGGAAATCGTTTAAAATTCTGAGGGGGAGGGGGGGGGTTTGCTGCCGTATTCATGCTATGATCCTTGCTTCATGTGCTACCATTACCAAACTAAGCCAAAACCGTTGCGAGAATAGGAAAGGGGACCAAGGAAAGGAAAGGAAGGGAGGGGGGGCGTGGGCGACGAGGATGCGCTTCAAGTATCGATTGTTCGGAATCTCGCCCACCCGAGCCAAGCCCCCCGCCAATCCAACCCCCAACCATGGACCCTTTTCATATGTTTTTTTTGTTCCTTGTAACTGCATGCTTTCAGGGGGGGTATCAGTGTTGTGTCTCTGCTTGCTTTCTACCCAGCGCATAGTGTGTACATAATAAGACATGAGGATGAAAATCCGCAAACATCGTCGAGAGAGGGAAAAAAAAATGCAATGAATAAGAAAAAGAGACACACTGAGGAAATGAAAAATAGGTATGAGACTAAGGAAAACGTTTAAAAAATTTCTTCTTGAGATCAACTCTTGCATTCAACGACTGTGAAGAAAGGCAAAATCATTTCATATACACATACTCGCTTGAACAGTCGCAGTCTCGCTCCTGTGTGATGCCAGCGTTTGTTTGCTTCCCCCCAAAGTCGTTTTTTCGTTCGCGCGCGCTTCTTGTCTTGGGAAATGGGATGATTGACAAAGGGAAGACATGGGCGTTCTTGGTGATGGGGAAAATGTCCTCATCATGCTAGGATGAAACGAGCGACATTTACGAGGGCTGGATGACCGAAGGACCAGCAAGCACCTCGGCGTCGGCGACAGACTTGCTCTTGGTGATCATCATGTAAACTTCACCCGAGAGGCCTTCGGGGACCTTGCAGTTTCCGCTCTTGATATCGGTGAACTGGTTGCCGCCACTGCGTCACTGTTAGTATCGAGTTTGTTTGATCGGGAGCTGTCCACGGGGCAGACTTACGGGGCAACGAAAGCGCAGAACATGGCACCAGCGGGCTGCGCAGGATCGGCGAGCTTGAGGTCCTGGCCAGCGGTAGCCTTCTCGGGGTTCTGGAGCGCAATCGAGGGGAAAGGCTGGATGTTGAGGTTGGAGCCTTCGGGGCACGACTTGATGAACTGAGCAGCGAGCGTGAAGACGGCACGGGGCTGAAGAGCCGTGTCAAAGGCAGCGGGGATGGGCTCAGCACCCATGGCGATACGGATAAAGGCCTGGTGACGGGACTCGACAGTGACAATGGATGCGGCGGCCGAGAGGACAGCGGACGAGTTGACCAGAGGAGCGGCTCCGAGGTAGGCAGAAACACCAACAGCCTCGAGAACACGGGCAGTCTTGACCATGGCTGAGGGGCTAGCGAGCGCGGCATCGAAGTTGTACTGGCAGGCCTCGACGGGCTTTGCGCCAGCTCCGGTAATGGCGGATTGAAGGGTAGTGACGTGAGTGGCCTCGGTCATTCCAACAGTCATCAACGTCTTGACCTGAGCCTCGGTGAGACCAAGACCCATAAAGTCCTTGGTGGAGAACTTGGCGAAACCCATCGAGTAGAAATTTGACTCGAGATGCTCAGCAGTCAGGGCACTGTTTGCGGTCAGTCTGCGCTCCCATGACGACTCTTGTCTACCGCGCCACTCACAAGTTGAGAATGTCAACATCAGTCAGCTTTCCTGCAGCTGCTGCCGGTGCCGCTGCTGCTGCTTGGGCCGCTGGGGGCATAGCAGAGCCAGCCGTCTCGGTAATGGTCGAGGGCTTGGGGGGCATCTCCATGGCCCTGGCCGGCGTGTTTGTACGGGCATAGTTGGCGGGGACGGCAGCCACAAGAGGCGCCAGGGCAGCAAGGCCCTTGAGTATGCTTGATACGCTAGGCATGGTGATGAATTAAGATACGGTGAGCTCGTTGTACGTTAGACAAATTCGGAATGAGGGACCTCCAGCAAAGACCCGCTTTGAGTTCGATTATTAAAAATTGTCTAAAAAAAAAGTCCAACCAGGGACTGACAAGGAAAAGAATGTGGCTGATTATTAGATACGGAAGAAGGTAGAGAAAGCTCGCCGATGATGATGCAGCTGAAAACGAGTAGGGAAACAAGGTGGGCAGCCAATGGACCTTATACCGAGAGCTGCAACTCCTAGGTTGCATCTGAGACGCCAGGGTAAATCCGGAAGGACGGATGAAGAGGTCGTGGCGGGCTGCTGGATCCCGCCCCACGCAAGAGGCTACCTTAGCAGATCCGTGACTGTTCAAGCTTTGAACCTTGGCAGCTCGGCCCATTGATCGTCGAGGAACTGCCTGCTAGCAGCGCAGCAACCGCCGACTGAGTCCGGCAGGTAGCGATGGGGTTGGCCATGGAGGCGTGTGATGTAGCAGGTCGGGGGCCCTGCGACGCCAATATGCTGCGCTGAAACCCCAAGAGTACCAACGCCTGCGCGGAGGCAGCAGAGCCGCCCTCGATTCAAATCGAGCACAGCAATAGCGCATAGAAATTAATGGCGGTATTTCGACTTTCCGACAGAAACCATGTGGTGGCTCATGCCATGAGGCTTGGAGCAAACAGCTACCTTGATGTCGACCGTCAAGTGTTTCCAGCGGCGGCAGTAGTGGTCAGAACGGGCGTTTCAACACACATGCTTGGGGCGCGGCAGAGGCGCACTTGGTGCACTGGCGGCAGAGCTGACGCGAGGGCGAGCGAGAGAGAGCGAGAGAGGAGGAAAAAAGGCTGGCGTTGGAGCATGTAGGCGCTGGCAGGGCAGCCATCCACGACGACGTCGGCGGGGGCGGGCGAGAGGTTAAGAGAGGTCGGCTATGGGCGTGGCTGAGGCATGCAAAACCGCACCAGGCGGCCAAGGCTCATGGGGAACCACTGGCATTTCGGGTGTATAGGGCCTGACGCCTTAGGCCTCAAGGCGGGTGCTTGGTAATGGAAGCGGATGCAGGTACACAAATCCTAGTCGACCACGACGCGACAGGGGGCTTGGAAGGTTGCAGATCCGTGGGTGGAGAAACGCTGCGGCAACACAACAGCATGACGCCGTGTGTCGGCCGCTCTGTCGCAATCACTCCCACACCGGGATAAACAAAGGCCGGCCGCTGCAGCGCTGCATGCCCTGTTTCTGCGCCCTGCACGCGCCCGCGGCCCAATCGCGACGCCTGTCCACTGTCAAACACGCTCCCGTCAAAAGTCTCTCTGCGCGCCTGGCACCGCCCACACGGCCCCTCGTGCTCAGGCACAAACCATATTAGTGGAGTCGCCATCAATGCCGCCTGTCAGCAGGAAACATGCTTCTCACCCACTCGCACTGTGGCGCTGTCCAAAAGCCCAACAATACATTAAACGTACCAAGCACTACTACCGTGTATAAGAGCTGCAACCATGTAAGTCGCGCCTCGGCATACTTGGCCATCAGCACATCAACGATACACATAATCCCACGCATTCCTTTTCTTCTCCTCGTCACCTAGTACATGTCCCATCGTCCAATTTTCTATACCAAGACAGCACGCCACACGCCCCTCCACACTGCCACACACACGCTCCTGCACCCCGTATCGGTACAATGTGCAGACCGCGTCAAGCACCTCGGCCGTCTAGAGCGCGTATGGGTTGAGCGATCGGATCGTCAAGCAACTAGGTCATCCGTCAGTACACATTCTCCACATACACTGCAGCACCATCAACTTACGGAGGACTCTTGGTCAGATCCGTCTTAAGGATGACTGGAACCCGCGTCATCTCCCGCACATCCTGGATGTAGTCGCCGTTCTCCTCGCGCAGAGTGAACCAGCTGAGATACTTCTCCTTGTTCGTCAGCTTGCTCTCGGCAGCTTCACCAGCGCTCTGCGCAATCTTCGAGTCCGAATTGACGCGGTGAGGAGCACCGGGAACATCACGCCTCGTCGGCGACGGAGGCATGCTCTGCGTTGGGCGGTCGGGGTTCAGCGACACGCCAGCCATGGTCGAGTTGAGGTCGTTGGAGTCGTCGTCATCGTCATCGTCAAACAAGGCCGCCTCCTCATTGGTCGACATGGTGCCCGTGTCCATCTGCCTGCGCTGGGCTTCTTCCTGCTCCCTCGCGCGCTGCTTCGCCGCTTCAGCCTCACGCGCCGCTGCGGCAGCATTGGCAGAACGGAGCGAGCCATGCTTTGGCCTTTCGTCCTCGGGAATGTAGTTGGACGACGGGACGCCCTTCTCCCAGTAGAGCTCGAGCAGACGCTTGTTCTTGTCGAACTCGGCCTTCTTGAGGGGAAGCTGGTCGCAGTGGACACGCTTCTCGAAGCCCCACTCGGGAATGAGCACATCGAAAGCAGACTCATACACGCAGAGCACAATGCCTTCGGCAATGAGATCGCCACCACTCTCCTGTCGCACCTTGTCCATCTTGCGGCAAGCCTCAATGTGCACGCTCTGCTCTTGCGCAGCGTGAGCAGAGTCCTTCTTGGTGTTGCACATCTCCGCAGTCTTGGCCAGCACCTCAATGTCTTCGGTGAACTCAATGGCACCGTTGGACAAAACAGCCTCCAGCTGGCGGTGCACGACAATATCGGCATAGCGACGCGACGGATTCGTAAAGTGAGTGTACCTGGGGAGGTTGAGGGCGTAGTGGGGGTACTGATCCTCTGGCAGCTTGCCCGCGACAAAGTACTTAGCACGGGGCATCGACTTGATGACCAACGTCTCCATGCCCTTCCGGATGTCGTCGTCTTCCACCTCGAACAAGCTGTTCTGCAGAGAACCGCTGCTCTCCGTGTTGATGTCGTAGCCAATGGCACCCATGCGCTCCGCAATCGTCATCAAGCGGCGGGGGTTGGGCGGTGCTTGGCGACGCAGAAGAGCCTTTTCAGGCAAGCCAGCGGCGAGCTTCTTCGCAACAAAGGCGTTTACAAGGTGGCTGAGCTCTTCAATGCACTCGTGCGCAGGCGAAGAGTCAAAAATGTTCTGCTCGACGGGCACGTTCTCGTCGTCCAGTTGGTACATGAGGCGCAGCGCCTTGACGTCGGATACCCGATCACCAAAGCGGACCTGGCGGAATTTCTGCGAAATGTGATGCAGCATCTTGATGTCCTTAGCACGAGCTACCGAGACGGAACCGTCGTTGCCGCTGATAACGGAGTCGACCTCGTCATACGACAGCTTTCCAGAGCTCTTGATCACAGACTTGCCAATCCACGTCTCGTCCTCGAAGACCTTGCCCGAAGCAGGATCGGCCTTGAAGACCACACTAACAGTGTAGCGCTCCTCGCCTGGGCTCAGACAGCAGATGTCGTTGGACAGCTTGGGAGGCAGCATGTTCACCGTACGGTTCATGAGGTACACGGCAGTGCCGCGCTTCTTGGCCTCACGGTCGACAAGTGAGTTGGCCTTGATGAAGTGTGAAATGTCCGTCACGTGAACACCAATCTCGACACGGCCATCGTCAAGGTACTTGAAGTGGATGGCGTCATCGAGCTCCTTGCTGCCGTTGGGGTCAATGGTAAATGTCTCCTCGCCTCTAAAGTCGCGACGGTTCTTCAGCGCCTCTTCGCCGTCGTTGGCAACCGACCAGTCGTCGAACCCGACGTTCTTGATGACGGCATCCGAAAAGTCGTCGGGACCAAAGTTGTTGTCACGCAGAAGAGCATCGGTTTCCACCTTAAGGTCACCCATGACGCCAAGCTGCTCGACAAGGGTACCAAACGGATGTAGTGACGTAATGGGCCATCGCTTGATGCATGCCACAAAGATGCGGTCGGCATACTCCTGGTGCTTCTCGACGAAATCACGTGGTGCTTGCTCCGTGGGAATGGCAATCAAGGGCACTCGCTTGTCTGTCGGCTTGAACCACACAATCTTGGGCTTGTCCTGGCGTTCCGGCTGGGTCCGGCCCGAGTTGCCCTCGCGAGCTAGGCGCTCAGCTTCCTGCTTTTCCTTTGTAGCCTGGCTGCTAGGACGGAGCAGTCCGAGAGAGCTGCAGGCCAAGTCAGTAAATGTGTAAAATGCGCTTTGCTTGTGTGAATGCATACCCAGAAAACATCTGTCCGGCAACACGCTCGATGACGGCAACAATGTGACCAGCGTAGAGAGGCTTGAGCTCGTCATTGATCTCTTCCTCCTCCATGAGCAGCAAGCTTTGTCCTTCCACTTCCACATCGTCGTTCTTCTTTTGTGCAGGTCGCTGGCGGAGACTGCCACGTCGACGAATACCACCCTCAGAACCAGTTTCAGGTTGCGTGGTGGCATCATTGACGGCGATACTACCGCCGCGAGGGTCTGCGTTGTCCTTTCGCTTCTTCTTCTCTTCCTTCTCGCGCTTCTGTCCCCAAACCTCGTCAACGTCGAGGAGCTCGACAGCGACCAAGTCTCCTTCGAGAGCTCGGTTCCTGTCTTTGCTGCCGCAGATGAAAATGTCAGCATCTAGATCAGTAGTGGTAACGTAGGCATCGCTGCGGTTCTTCTTGTTGACACGGAGGATACCAGCAACGAGTTGGCCGTCGCTGAGGAGGGCAGGCAGAGTTGCCTGGGGGAGGTAAGGAGTGAATAGAGTCTTGCGCTGTTGCTGCTGCTGTTGCTGCATGTTCATCTGCGGGGCATGCTGGCTGCCGCCCAGGCCGCCCTGCATCTGAGCAGCTTGAAGCGCCTGCAAATGAGCAATCTGCATAGGGTTAAGCGGCTGGCCAAACATCTGCTGTTGCAGCAGAAGCTGTGCTTGAGGTGATTGCATCTGCATCTGGGGCTGGCCGCCGTACTGGAAGTTGCCAAGAGAGCCAACAGACTGGTTGACCGATCCACGACTGCGGTGGCCAGGTTGGAAAGGAGCGGCATTGGCGGTTTGGTTCATGTTGAAGTTGCCCATGTTCTGGGCCTGGTTGTCTTGAGCAGACTGTTGCTGGTTGTTCTGAGGCTGTCTCCAGTTGCCTTCAAAGTTGCGTGACTGGCTGCGGCCATGGCCCTGGCTGCCGCGGCGCTGGAAATCGGGCTGCTGGTTGGTCTGGTTGGTGGGATTCTCGCTGGTCGCTGGGAACGAGAAAGAAGGCCCACCACGGCCAGCACCTCCGCCACCACGTCCGACAGCCATACTCTGGCTACGGCCGTGGGCACCTCGTCCACGCGTCGAAGACGAGTCGTTGGAGGCACCCTGTCCGCCGGGGCTGGCGTCACGATTGGAGCTGCCCTCGTTGGAGCCGGGAATGGGGAACTGGAAGCCCGAAGTCTTTCTCTTGGATTCAGCTTGCTCGGCAGCCTTCTTTGCATCTGCCAGAGCCAGCGAATGGCGGCGCGTGTGGCTGCCGCCGCCGCCAGCGCCGCCACCTCCTCGGCCACGAGGGTTTACATTTTCCCTGCCCTGGCCGCCTTGGGGTGCGCTAAACTCGCCGAATCCAGAAGCGCCAGACGACGGGGCAGGCGGGGGGCCCATGCCGACATTGGGAAGGGCGGACTGGTTGCGGCGGTGGGCCGAGGGCTGTGCAGGGGCATTCATGGGGACAGCGAGATGCTGTTGCTGCTGGGGCATCTGCTGGGCGAATTGGTAGTTGTTGACCTGGGGCGAGACACCGGGCATCTGGCCGGGCATCTGGAAGTTGCCGAGCTGCTGCTGCGGCTGGATCATGCCCATGTTGACGTATTGCTGGTGCGTGGCGGCAATCTGTTGCTGTTGTTGCTGGAGTACCTCGATCTGCTGTGCGATGGCCAGTTGCTCCACTGTGCCATGTACGTCAGCAATTGCTTGCTAAGCTTTGGGGGACGGGAGAGGATGAGTGAGAGCCGGGCCAACATACTCATCAGCGGCGTCAGCTCTGACGGACTGCGGCGGTGCGCAATGTGCAGACGGCGGCCGGCGGGGCCCATGGGGCCCTGCTGGCCTTGTTGCTGATCCATATCGACGGGCGTCGGGTGTGTGCGAGCGGGTGCGTGGGTGCGGCGGGTGTCGAGTGGCAGTCGGACACGAAATGGTCAAAGGGGAGCTCGACTTGGCTGGCGGGCGTTAGTGAGGGCGGTCCAATCGAGGGATGCAGCGGGCAGGGGGGGGGGGGGGGCGAGATGATGCAAGAGATGAGGGAGCAGCGGAGTGGGTGGAGCAACAGCTCGAGGGCGGGCGGGCAGCTGGCGTGCTCCAGGCGGAGCTAGCGGGGGGAGGGGACAGAACTCACGTTGGAGTAAGCGTGCTGGTCAGGCGGTGCTTGCGAGAGCAGAAGATAGTCTTGCTGGGGCAATGGGCGCCGCGGGGGGGGGGGGTTTGCTGGGCGGAAGCGGGTGGAAGCGTCGTGTGCGGACAGAAGGCAAAGGGGCCGGGGTGGGTGGATGGGTGGGTGAGTGGGAGGCGAGGCGTGATAAGGAGGGTTGAGCAGGTCAAGGAGCGCGGGTTCCCTGGAGCGGGTTGTTGTGGGCAGTACCAAGACCCAAAATACGGGCGGCGAGAGAGCGGTGCGAAGGAGGGAGCGATGGAAGCGGGAGAAGGGCGCGGGCGAGGGCGCGGGCGACGAGAGCAGCGGAAGAGGGGAGAGAGGGGAGGAGGGGGAGGAAGACGGAGGGCTGCAGGAGGGAAGGGCGAGACGGGCAAGCAGCGTCGGCGGGCGAGCGATGAAGGTGGTGATGGGCTATGGCGGGACTGGGACTTGGCCTGATGCTCGTATTGGGAAGCGATCGGCTGTGCTTGGCTGCCACCGCAGACGACGCCTGCGCCCGCGTAATGGACACACGTACGTACGTCACTCTGGCTGCGCGCCGTCGCCGTGCGCCGCGAGGGAGAGGGCTAAGCAAAAGAGAAAGAGAGAGTATGTGTGCAGGCAAGCGAATGGGCAGCAAAAAGAACAGCAGAAAAAGAGGGCGGCGAGGCGGATGCGCGCGAACGAGGGAGAGCGCCGGGCTCCTGCTGCTGCACTGCACTGCACGCTACTGGAGTTGGACTGAGGCGCTTGCCAGGCGTCGAGCGTCGTCGGCCGCGCAGCCATATGTATAGTGCTATTATCCTCAGGATTGCTATTATTACGGCTGTGATGACAGTACGTCGAGGCGCGCCACAGTCGGGGCGGCCTTGTCTCAGCAGGCCGCCCCCCGTGGAGCATCGCGTTTGAGTGGTGCATGTTTCACGGGTGGGCAGGCCCGCAGGCGTTTCTGATATCACGACGGCTAAGCCGCTCTCAGCGCCTGGCCCGTTGGCGCGCACACGCACACGCAGCCATGAGTCTCGGGCAGGCGGCCATCGTCGCCTCGCCATGCGCGTCGCCTTGTTTGGAGACGTGCGGCCGTCTCCTGGCGGGTGCACGTATACAGCGTTTGCAGTCGCAGCTGCAGCCGCAGGCCCACCAGCTTGCGGCGGCACACATGCCCACACGTGTTTGACCACGCCCATGACCACCGCCCGCGACACGTCGTGTTTGTCTCCGCGCCCGCTGCGTGCGCGCCCTCGTCGTCGTCGTCGTCGTCGGCGTCGGCGTCGGCGTCGGCGTCGTCATGGTGGTGGTGGTGGCGGCACTGGCAAGGCGCTCAATGGGCCATCCGTCCATCTGCCGCCACGCCCACGCCCGCGCCCACGTCGGCGGCAGGCATGGGCGGGCCCGTATGTATGCGCGCTCACGTGACGCCGGTGCGGAACAGTGCTGCCAAACTACTTGTGCTAGCTCCCCATGGCACGCCTGCGCACCAACCTCGTGCTCAATCACCGCTTTTTCTGCCTGCCTCGCCCACAATGCCCGCCAGATCGGGCGCCTCGTCCTCCAGCATGCATACCGCCACCTCGTTTGGCTCGAGTTTCATGGATGCCTCGCCCACCCGCCAATCGCCCAACCGCACCACCGCCCTCCGCCCACACCGCGAGTCCCTCGCCCGCGACCCCTACGAGAGCCCATCCCGCAAGCTGGCCCTCGAGTTCAATCTCCGCCTCAGCATCTCCGACAGCCAGTTCAACGAGCGCCTCGACCACGATGCTGCCGAGCGCTCCAAGCGACACGCCCAGCAGCTTGCCTACGCGGCCGAGGAGCACGAACGCGTCTTCCGCTCCGCCAAACTCGAGATTGAGCGCCTGGCCCTCGAGGAGGAGCACGCCCGCCTCCGCCATGAGGAGATGCAGCGGAGAGAGATTGAGCGCCTGAGGGAGGAGAAGGCGCGCGACGAGGAGGCCGCCCGTCGCAGGGCCCTCGAGGCCAAGCAGCGCGAAGAGGAAGCCGCCCGCCTCGCCGCCGAACACCAGAAGAAGCTGCACGAGGCCGAGGCGAGGATCCGCGCCCAGCGCGAGCACGAAGCCGCAGCTGAGCGCCAAAAGAGAGAAAAGGAAGAGGCGGATCGAAAGGCCGCCGAGGCTGCCGCTGCTGCAGAGAAAGCTCGCCAGCAAGCTTCGCAGCAGCAGCAGCAGCAGCAAACACCCCAGCCTGTGCCCCAGCCTGTAGCCGCTCCTACACAAGCGGCTATGCCCAAACCAGCGACTAGCTCCCCAGCACCGCAAAACAATTTCGAGCAATTACACAACCAGTACCTCCAGCTCCACCAGCGCATGAAGGAATTCCGCACGGCATTCTGGGAAGAACACAAGAAGCCATCCTCGCCTCTCAAGGGCCCCGTCGGCGATGCTCGACGCGCCCTCCGCACTCGACTCGGCCAGATCAATGTGGAGCGAAAAGACAGCGCGGCCGCCATCAAGCGGCTACGAACAGAGTGTTTTGATGTCGCCTTGGCTACCCCGGGCCCTGTGATTGACATCCGGCCATACATTGTTTCTCACCAGATCCCCCAATTAGCAAACGAAAGCGATGCCGCATACCCTGCCTTCTTGCTCTACGTCTGGATTTGCTTTGAAAAGTTTCTCGTCAAGCAGTTTGAAAAGGAGGCGGCAAATACAGACGGGCGTATCATCCAAGAAATTGGCCTGATTGCCGCCAGCTTGTTTGGAGACCAAAAGTACATGTGGAACGGCCTCCCCCTTACCGATATTGCCCTAGCCAAGCTACACAAGGCCTGCCCACCACTCTTTGGCATCCGCGGCACCATGGACACAAAAGAGGGCCGCCTACGGTTAGGGTGGCGGGAAGACTCCACCCCCGAATCATATGCCCAGCGCATGCGTGGCATTGGTGCTGGCTACGCATCCATGTCTCTGCGCTCGTTTGCGTCCAAGACGCCTGCCATTGCCACCTCGGAATACTGGCGAGCAATCGTGTCCATCTGCAACACCCCGCCCGAGCACCTCTGGCCCGGGCATTTCGCCATTCTCAGCGGCCTGATCCGCGACTACTACCGGAAGTTTCTCCAGTTCTACGGTGTCCCTGCTCGTGGCGTCCTCCGTCGCGCTGTCATAGACCTCCCTGCCCGAGCCCCTGCGCGCTGCAAAGACGCTGCCAGTACCATTGCCGTGCTACGCGAGAACTGGAAGAAGGAGAATTTCCCATTGGATTAGAATTATAAATACGAGGGAGAAGAGAAGAATACCCAGTGGACTTTTTGGAGTCAGGATCTTTTTTCTTTCTTTCTTTCTCTACTCTTGTCTGCATTGGACGGCGCTTATCGTTATCGTCATGACCACGGGCCAATGGCTGTGTAATGGGACTGGCTGCATCTCCTATCTCGTGTTTGCCACTATAGACGTCATGTTTCGGCGAGGTAACATACATGCTTGGTAGTGTGTGTGGTGGGGGGCGCACACTTGGTTATCACATGCAATGAAATGACAGTCTTCTGTCTCCAGAACTTGGGTGGTTTTATTCTCCGTTTTTTTTCTGGTGACTTTTTACGATGATTAGACGACGTAATCGTATGAGGGGGGGAGGAAACCGGATTCTATCATGTATTTAGTAGTGATGAAATTTTGAATAGACTTGAAGAAAAAGAAGAAGAAGAAGCAGAAAAAGAAAAAGAAAAGAGACCAAATCCTAATATTGAGCCAATCAGTTGGAGAGAGCACAGAGATCAACTATCGAGTGTCTTGTAATCGAGGATATAATGTGGTTGTGGTTGTGTGTAATTTCTTGATATACTGATATAAAGGGAAACGAAAAGGGAATCAGTTCAATGCAGAAAATTGTTCGAAGAGGAAGAAGATCAATATCTAATCTTTTCCGCGGGACATCATATGCTGCGAAAAAGAAAAGCTTTATCTGATTGCCACGTGCACAGAAAGAGTGATGTGCAATAACCAAAACTCACCAATGCCACTTGTACACGTCTGCTGAATTTCGATGCCATCTTGTAAACCTCTTTCAGCGTCTGTATGCTTCGAGTAGGGAAGATTATGCACTTGAAAAAAACGACGGTTGTTTTCTTTCCGGATACTGTTTAGTTTGTGGTTCAATTCCCAGCGTGAATTTCTCTGCATCTGAGACAAAAGTCTATCTGTTCTTCATGATTGCTGTAGATGTAAGTTTGCATTGAAACCACTGGCGCAGGTGCCAGGTAGATCAAGTCTGTATCACTTGACTGTAGCGTACGACTTGAAATCAAACCAGCAAACTGACGAGCGTTTATCTGGAACCACTAGAATGGGTGAAAAGTCTAGAAGCTTCCCCATAAACATCAGCTGAACATGTAACGGCGTTGATAAGGTAGTTTGGACATGGTGCGAACACATGACGTGGCAGAACAATGCATCTCGTGCCATGTTTCCGGTGACTACCATCTCCATGCCCATCCAAAATTTTCATTCACCGTCTATTGCAGCTGAGGAACCCCAGTGATTTAATACTGGTAGTCCAGTGAATTAAGCCGATCCGCCACCCTACCAGCATCAGACGATCGTCTGAAGGTTATACTGCTGCCAAGCCTGATCTATCCCATCAGCCGCATTCAATTTTCTTTTTCTTCTCCTCCACCCACGATGACATGGCCCGCTCCGCTCCACCATGGGCATGCTAAACCACATAAGACGAGCACACCATACTGATACTGGGGGTGCTGAACACATGGCACGACCAGGCTTGGCGGGCGGCGCAGCTGGGACGCGCGACGCCCAAAATAGCATAGCCCTGGTAGCGAGCCGCTAGCCATGCAGCTAGCTGCAGGCAGGCATGGGGGCCCAAATACCCACACCGTCTGTCCCCAGTTGTCGGACCCACCCACTTCAACACCACAACTCGTCTCAACCACTCACCACCCGCATAATATTAGTCTTTTGTTTGACCACACACACCCTCACTCTCTCACCACAAGAACAAGCGTCCGTTTCCCATTGGCGTCCCGAGCCTAGCCTGTCTTGCAGTACTGGTACCCTCCCCTCCCAACAGCCTGGTAGCGGGAGAGCCCTTTTCTTCTACCACTTCGTATTATGGCTGCTGTGGCTTGCCCCAACCCGTCGACTATCGGTCCATCTCGTCAATTTCATACTCGTTTTCCCCTTCTGGATCTACATTGGGCTTGGTCGAGGCAGACTCGTGGGGGAGGAGAGGAAACAGCTCAGCCTCGTGTGTGCCACCGAATCATGATGGCCTCTGCTCATTTCTCTTAGCGCAGGTGGCCGTGCTGGCCTAACGTCGCAAATACACATGCAACAGCAACAACAACAACAACAACGCACTTTGTTTATGCTGCAAGTCTTTCAGGATTTCTGCGGGTCTCTTGTTAGCGGCTGTTTTGTAGGCTGGTGGGCTTGCCAGCAAAGTGACGCCCAGGAGCTGCTTGCGAGAGCAGCCATACCAATATTGGCAGTTGCACAAGCTGAGCTCATGCTTTTCAGCTGCATGGCCGGATACAGTAAAGCAGCAATTTTATGGTTCGCACGCGGTGAGGTACTGGTTGTCTACTGGTAAGTGCCGGCGGCGTCAAGATGCGTGGTTGGCACATCCAGTCTGCGAGCCTGTGCCACCATTACTTTGCTCCGCAGCCAGTCTCCACTTCTTCAAGCACGGCAGTCATAGCTTTGACAGCCACTGCCCCCGCCTATGAGGTGTCGCCTATCTTGCCTCTTTGCTAGGCTTCTTTCCATACCCAGGGGCGCAGTAGCCTCTCCTCCGGTCGACGGCCTGTTTTGCTCCCCCACAACGTGCTGAGGCTGAGCACTTGTTCTCTAGACGAGACCACGTACTGGACGCCTTTCCGCCGATTCGGCGCCACGGCCGCAGACTGTAGACGGGCCTATGCGCACAATGCTTCATTTCACGAATAGACATATGTTTGCCTGGCACCCGGTACCGGTTCGCCAGGCAGCAAGCAACTTTTCCATCAGCTCTATACTAAGGACCTGGATGACGCATGTGAATCATCTTGTCCAAGCATAGCCATCCTTGACTCTTTTCGCCCCCCCTTGTCCATCCACATAACCTAGTTGCCTTGACTATATCCAAAGTCTTGCTGGACGACTGGTTCCCCCCCACAATCACTTCTCGAATCCCATCACATACCATCGCCATGGCCCCCATACCACCAGACACCAACATGAACCTCAACGGCGAGCTGAAAGACAAACACAGGCCCTACTGGACAAAAGTCAACATCGCCCTAACCGCCGTCTTCGCCATCCTCTTCCTCGCCCTCTTCCTCGGCGCCCTCTCCTTCTGCCTCTACCATCGCTACCAAAAGAAGAAGCAACTCAACAAGCGCAAATCAGACTCTGCCGGTCTGCTCGCCAACGAAGACAAAACAAGCATGTTCAGTAGCAACAGAGCCAGCAGCGTCACACTCTACGTCGACTCGGACGCCGACGCGCGGAACAAGCGGTCAAGCACAGACACCATGCATCTTGTCCCGCTGCAAGTCACTCCTCCAGTAGAGGAGATAAGAGATCCCATCGGCGAGAACAACAACAGCAACAGCAGCAACAACAACAACAGTAACAACAATCTCGTCCTCAATACGACTAGTTCAGGCAGTGGCGTCAGCTCCATCAGCGGACAAACCAACACCACGCACCTCAGCCCCATATCCCGCACCGCAGAACACTTCGACACAGATTCCATCCGACCGTCCGGTCGTCCCCGCAGCATAAGCACCACGTCGGGGCGCTCACGCTACTACGAACGCATGTCCATCGACACAGACATGCCCTCTGTCCCCAAGATTGTGCATACATCCTGGCAACAGTAAAACAGTCCCTGCTCTGGTGTCTTGGTCAAATAACCCCCAAGTTTGCGTCATTATTCTGTTTGTTTTTTCCTTGTTGTATTCCGCATTGTTCCTGTACGTTAGCATACCATGGAGGGGGTTCTTTTTCCCCTTTCTCTGCATAGATATATAAATATACCCCCTATTCCTCTTTTTTTGGATTTATTTAACTAGAGACTTGATATGCGTGCACATGTTGGAGTCACGCTGTGTGGTTGGAGCCTCTAGAGAACTTCTATATATTGCGTGTAATACTTAGAAAAACGCAAACCGTTAAAATAATAGTACACATATACATAGTCACATTGATTCTAGTATTCTCACTCTAACTTGAAAAAAACACACCCCTCTTGATCGATACTAACCCTGTATACCTACTTTAACCCATCCCACATATTCACCGTCATCAGCCTAGCAGCAACTGCACATTTGGGGGAGAGGAGGGGAGAGGAGGGGCGAGGAGGTGGGGTATTCTCCTCTTCTTTCGCCCCCAATATTTTCACACTAAGCACCACTATTTACTATCAGGTATTAGGCGCGCGCCACTCCAGTGTCCATCCATCCCTCCATCCATCCATCCATATATAAATGCATAGCCAAGAAGTTTGTGAAGGCCCCCCCCCCTTTTCGGACTATTTTTTCCAGGGGACCACGAGTGCAGAGTGCAGAGTGCAAAGTGAGCGCTAACAACGCCCATTTACTTACTTACCCCTCTGCTGTCGCTGTTGCTGTCGTCATCTTTTCAGCCCCCACCTTGGACACGCAATTACGCATGCACATGACATAAGTGTAAGTATAGCATGTCTCCACTCCTTACATACGCATGCATGTGAAAAGAGGGAGGGGTTTTCGTCAAGGTAATCGGCACATGGTGATTTAGTCACAACCGTTTTGACATTGCATCTGTGTGTGTGTGTGCGTGTTTCTCGCCCAACTTCCTTTCTCCAGTTACCGCGTTGTGCACCCCAGCTAAGTAGCCCAGACAATACCCTATACAAGACTATAATGTACAATTACCACGGAAACCTGGGCCCGGCAACGCCTATCGCTTTAACCGTGGGACATTCATCACGCCGTGACATGTATGCTAACAACAAAACAACGTACAAACTATGTTTCCATACAGCAACATCTACTTCTTCGCACCAGCATTCACAACATCCTCGTCAAGCTCCCACTGCGGGTCCCAGTGCACGTACTGCGCCATGGCCACACTCAGCAGCCACTCTGTCTTGACAATGCGCGGAACCATGTCGTGTTTCTTGGCGAGCTCACGGAACTTTGTCCAGTTGTTGAATTCGCGCTTGTCAGCATCGGAAATCAGGTAGAGGACGTCACCTTCGTCTTCGACCTGGTTCTGGCTGACTTCTTTGTCTGACGTGTTGCGTATGCGCTTAGATGCTGATACCGTAGTCGGGCGGCCTTTCCAGAGCGAACACTTGCCGCCGTTGACTTCGATAATGTCTTTGTACGTGTCAAAGCCGCCCGCCACTTTCTCCGTGCAGAAAATAGTCCAGTCTTTGAGGAGGCGGTGCTTGTTTTGCTTGGCGCGTTCGAGCGCTTCGGACAGGCGGAACTTGTTGGCTTTTTCAAAGTCTTTGGCTTGCAGGAGATGCTTTTCGACTGGTGGTAGTTTATTGTTCTTGAGCGCAAAGTCGAGATAGCTTGTCGATACCAGAGTGGGCGCACATGCGAGCGACGCAATGAACTTCTTCGTCCGGACTGGATGGGGTGCACAGACAAGGTCTACTTTCTTGAAGTCATCGGTGATGAAAAGGCCAAGCTCGCGCAGACGCGCCTTATCTTTGGACTCTTTCTCCGCGTTGTTGGTCCATCGCTCGTCTTTCGAGATCAACATGCGGAATTTGATAGGTGTCAATTTTTCCTTCTTTGCTCGTTTGTTCTTTGCTGGAACATCTGGAGCCTCATCTTCTGTTTCTTCATCTTCGTCAACTTCTTCAATCGAACGCTTGCTTGAGACAGAATCACGGCCTCCTTTTGCTTGTTTCGCTCGCTCCTCCACCTCATCTTCTGTTCGCCGACGTCCTCCATGTATGACTCCGCCCTTGCGCTTCATCTCTTTCTCAAACTGGGCGATATCCGGCGCAAAATCATGCAGTTTTGACAGCGCTCGATCTTTGGCGCCACGACTACCAGGTGTATGATTCTCTCCATCTGTTTGACGTGGAGGTGCTGGCGTTTGAACACTACCTCCCGACTTTGCACGTTTAGCTTTCTCAGCCATAGGCGGGCTGCGCGGGGCCGGGGGCTCGCTTGCTCGTGGTACTACCCTTGACGCTGAAGCATCCTTGCTCTGAGGTGCTGCCTTAACGGCTTTAACAGGTTTCGTTTGCTTCGAGAAGAATATTTTCTCCGTAGCGTCACGATCAATTTCGGTTTGACCCAAGACCTCTCCCAGGTTTGTACGTGCTGGGAAGTACGTGTAGCGATTCTCTGTTAGTGGCATTTCCCTGCATTTGGCATAGCTGTCTTCAAGCCAGAGATGGTTGACAATATTCACACCCCATTCGGCTGCAGCTTCGCACTTTTCGCTGTTTTTATGTGCGGCGATGAGATGGGTGTTGTCCTGTTTGAACGTCTTTGTGAACTCTGCACCTGTGGCCTTGATCAAGTTCTCCAGATAAACCCGTGCTTCGCCTGTGTAGCTCGAGATACTGATCTTGTAACTGTCGAACCCCGGGATGCCTTCACGTGGCCGTGGATAGTGCAGCATTCGCTGCATGGGGTTTGTCCAGATGCCGTGAGTGATAAGGTAATACAGCCAACCTAGGTTGCCTACATCCTTCTGCGCTTGCGAAGCCTTGACATAATCGGTGCCTTCCCGATAGTTGCAAACGTACATGTCCGCCTCATCGATTTTGGACGTCACACTGCCGCCGCCGGCCTGGATCATACCGGTTATGACACCCCTTAGCTTGGTGCTGATGTTTAAGTCTTCTCCAAGCTTGACACTTTTTCCTTCGAAAGCCTTGATTGCGCGTGGTGGTTCCAGGTGGGGCGGCAATGGCACAGGCTCGTTTTGTGGTTCTGGTGTGGTCGCGTCTCGAATCTGCTGGCTTGTTCGTGTGGGGGGGATTGCGCCTGGTTCGGCATCGGCGAGGATCTCGGGATTTGGTAGCGTGTAGGGGCGTTCTGATATCCTGCGACCAACTTTGAGGCAGTCATCGAACCTGAGAACGTCAGCTCCAGTTGTGCTTCATCCCTACAACGCAAATCTTACCAGTGGGGTAGCACAATCACAAGCTGGAGACGCTTGCTAATGGCGAGCTGACACCGCGGCTCACTCACATCGAGCGCAATAAGATGCGTTACCTGTTTCGAAAGGCTTGGTGCAATCTGCCCACCGAGGGCCAGTACGCCACCTTCAATTGCCTCCTTATCTCCGTTTGGTATTTCTCCACAACATATGACGACATCGCTCATGAAGAGCGCCGGATCTGGGCTATATGCTCGTGGGTTCTTGGTCTTCATGCTTTGGAGAGACGCGTGCACCCATGTTGGCTTCACAACGTGTATCATGAGATCGAGAGCGCGGTGGTAGTCTGGGAAGTCGGCCGTCTCTGACACGATGTAGTTGATATCTTTGAGGTTTTCTATGCGGCCCTTGGGGGCATCAAAGGGTACTATCGTTCCATGTGCGCTGGTAATGGCATCTTCAATCTGTAGAGCGCATTAGGGCCGCTTTCGCAAAAGCTGCAACGCGTCGCGTACCTCGTGTATGCTGTCTTCCGACAGACCATTGGGACATATGGTAAAGCCGAGCTCATCGAAGAGGCCTGGCGGGCTCTCGAGCATGGTCGTGTCCTCCATGACTGAAATTGACTGCGATATGCCTTTGGGTTGAGGACTGCACGTTGGCGATATTCGTCTCCAAGACGCGATTGACAGGGTTCAACGGGGAGGCGCGAACGCGACATGGGGCACGTGACGTCGCCCAAAACACTTCCAACCCCATTTCGTCATGCCGGCCAAGGGCGTGCAATGCCAGCATGCTCCATCACAGCAGGCGGATATCCGGAATCCGCCATTTCAGATACCTTGACGGTTTCGGCTACCTGATCTCTCTGTGGCCTATCCGTCCATCGAGTCGCTGTGGAGAGGTAGTGTGAGGGGCATTAGAGGCGGCGCAGATGGACCTCGGCATTCCTGTCCAGATTATGCCGGCAACTCGTCACGACACCCTGAGCATCAAACCGCGCTTGCTGTTATCTTCTTTCCGCGCGCAGCCAGACAACCCTTTTCGACCCCTAATCGCACGCTCTCTCTGTTCCTCTAGCACTCCCTTCCTTGCATTCCCTTGTACTCTGGAGCAGACGGTGGTCGCGCCTCGGTCATCTCTTGTTCCATCATGTCTTCAAACTACTTCCGGATAGACGAGCACAAGATAGAAGCATCGCATATACGTGGATTTCCACGAGCAACAGCAAACAAGCAGGACGATGTCCTGTACCTGGCAGTGAAGCAGTACACGCCGCTGCGCAACACGAGCCCGAAACCTGGCGACATCACCATCATTGCCGCGCATGCGAATGGGTTTGCAAAAGAGCTATATGAACCGCTGTGGAATGAGCTCCTGAAGCGATGCGAGCAACAGGGCTTTGGTATCCGTGGCATTTGGATAGCCGATGTTGTGCACCAGGGCTGGAGCGGCGTTCTGAATGAGGGCAAATTGGGAAATGACCGTATGAAAACCCACGCGTCTGCAAGATTAACAGCTAACTCAGTGCAGCCGCCTGGCTTGATCACAGCAGAGATCTCCTCCACATGGTCAACCTTTTCCGCGACCAAATGCCTCGCCCTATTGTGGGCGTCGGCCACAGCATGGGTGGCTGTCAACTCGCCAATCTTGCTCTCCTTCATCCCACGCTTTTTGAGACGCTGGTTCTCGTAGACCCCGTTATTCAGGGGAAAGTTTCGATTCTTGGCAACGTCTCGCCAGCAGCCGCCTCAGCAAGACGTCGCGAGCGCTGGCCAACGCGCGAAGAAGCCGCAAGCAGCTTCGCAAAGAGCAAATTCTACCAGACCTGGGACCCGCGGGTACTGGATGCTTGGGTCAAGAACGGACTGCGGGACATGCCGACACAACTGTTCCCCGATGGAAAGCAGCCCGAGGTTACCCTCACAACCACCAAGCACCAAGAAGTGATGACCTTTTTGCGCAGCAACTTTACCGCAAGGCCGGGAGACAAGGAGCCATCATCAGCCGAATTCACATTGAGCAATCCAAAAGTGAACAGGAGGACACACCCAGACATGACGCCGTGCGATGAGCCCCAAACGCCGTTTTACCGCGGCGAGAGCACACTTGTTTTCAACCAATTACCGTCGCTCCGCCCGTCGGTTTTCTACATCTTTGGCGAACTTTCCTTCTTGACTAACGATGCCATCATTGAAGAGAAGATGCGCATGACAGGATCTGGCGTCAGCGGCAGCGGAGGCCGTGCAGAGGGCCGTGTAGCAAATGTCACGGTCAAGGGGACCGGACACTTGATTCCCATGGAAAAAGTCGACGAGAGTGCAGACCATATCGGCAAATGGATCAGTAAGGAAATGGAGAGGTACCGGGATTGGGAGCGCAAGACGGAGGAGGAATGGAATGGCAAACAGGGCATAGAGAGGAGCGTAATGCCCCAGCGGTTCATAGAGGAGCTGGATGCACTCATCAAGCCGCGAGAGAAGAAGACGTCAAAGTTGTAATTTATCGTTAGATTTGAACAGTGTATTAGTACTAAAATTGTCTTGAGAACCAATGTTGTTTTGTCCGTCAATATCATACATCGTAATGCATCAGCATGCAAGCTGGTAACAAGGCTATTGAACCCCCTTTTTTACGCAGCCGTCTCTCTCATTTCCCTCACATCACAAGTCTTTCTTGCTCTCGCCCCTCTCAGGATAATACTCTCCGCCGAATTCCAAGCTCGCGCCCTCCCACCTCTCGGTCCTAATCTCCTGCCACGCACTCCACGGCCACCACCCCTGTCTCTTCCAAATCTTGGCCTCGACCGTCGCCATAAAGTTCTCCTTGCAGTAATTCAAGCGATGGCCGTCTGCAAACGGAGCGGGAAGCCCAAACCAGCCCTTGTCCTCTGGCGCAGTCGCCTTCAGCTCCATCATATACAAGTAATTACTCACCCATATTGAAAACGTCCGGTTGCCCCAGTCCTGCTTGACGCTCATAAAGGGCGAGAAGAGATTGAGATAGGACACGGAAAATGGGGGTACAAAGTCGAGATCGAGGCTGGGAGAACGATATCCAATCATGTACGCGGTGTTGTAGAGGATTTTGCCGCCAGCAAGACAGATACCGCGCTTGTGCTCATTGTCCCAGGCTTGCATCCACATGTGCGCGTCTGGGAAACTATGGGCCCAGTTTTTCTCCTGGTGGATGGTGGCGCTGGACTCGCCGTCTGCTGATGGGAAGGCGTCGCCGAGAGCGGGGATGTCGAGGGTAAAGGTAGCTGGGGAGCAGAGGGAATGCACGTGCCAGTGGAGTGGAAGGGGGAGATGGATTAGCCAGCCTTCCGGAGAATTCTTTCTGGGGCTCCATGCAGTGTAGTCGTTGCACTGGGCTTCGAGGCTCCAGCTGCCGTCTTCGGCGGCGAGTTTGTAGCTTGTTTGGCCGTTGGCGTCGGTCCGCATGGTGCCCATGCCGGGGATCTGCACCTCGAAGGCTTTGGTCTTGGCATCTTTGACGATGGCCGAGATGTTCTTGACAAAGTGGTCGCGCTGGAAGATGGGATGTCCGGATGCTGGATAGTAGGTAAATGAGACCATGTGCGGCCGTGAGGACGCTTTGGGTACAGAGCAGATGATCAAGACAATGTGGGCGCCAGATGCAAGGTCGAACTTGGAGTAGTAGCCCTCGAATTGGGCGGATGGGTGCGGGCCGTTGTGCTCCATGACTGATGATTTTCGAGGGGATTGGAGGATGTGCAAACTTTGGTGGTTTGTTGTAGTTTAAGCAATACCTTGCATGATACAAGGTAAGGGACGTGAACTGGTGCACGGGCCCAGAACAACAGGGTACATGATGCTGTCATCGTGGCTACGTGGTGCCATTGCCGTATTTCATCCTTTGGTTGCTCTTACAGACACGTGCTACACTCTTGAGTCTCACAAGAAATTGAATTTCATAGAGCTTGAAGTAATTATGTTTATATATCAGCCTCTGTAAACACGCTGCAAGTTGAGGTGGGCCGCCATATGACTCGCTTCTCGGAAACCTCTGACGTAGGCCAATATCTCTTGTGGCTCCAGAGCCGCAACGTCGCAGCATTTCAGTCCTGTTGGTTCCAGCTATGCCGTGGAATCCTCAACAAGTTGCTCGTCTACCGAATCTACCATGGAGCTTCCAGCGTCTGTTCAGCTGCACGAGCCATGTGTCGATGATACGCGCTGACCTGCCACCGAGGCCAGCAGCGCGAATCCTCATTTCTCAACCTATTACTTCTTTCCCTAGCCCCTTGCCCGCACGTCGTAGGGTCAGTCCCGGCATGGAAGCAGCAGACTGCGCTGCTTGCACGAGCCGTGTTGACAACGCAACATAAGCTTCTTTTCACAGATAGGTCTAACCTCGTATGCCGCTGGTCTACTGGGATCCCTGAGGAACATGTAGACTGACTCAAAGTCATGTTTTGATGCAGTTTGCATAACTGACACCGTATCTTCTTCTACTGTTCCCCTCCCTTGTCGTTCTTCCAGGATCCAGCGTAGTGGTGCGTCACCAGTTGCGGCGGTAGTTGTGCTTTTAGCTCCGGTGGGTACGTATTCGAAGATGCTGCAAATGAGTGGCCGGGCATCACCAAGACATCGCCGACGAGTCGCGGCTCCGTGAGGTTCTTCAATTTCTCTGTGTCGATGGTCTGTCGGAGCGTCTTTTCCAGGCTTGCGAAGACGCCGCTCGTCAAGCGCCGTGGACCTGTAAAATCCACAACATCGCCCATCATTTCCAAGGTCACGTTTGCAATTGTGACATTGTGCTCGGCTGTCTCTTCCCGCAACCTCTCGAGGATCTGGTCGACCGCCTGTAGCATGTGCGGCAGCCGTGGTTTGGCCATGATTGTCCAGCTAGCAAACTGGCGGACGTAGGGTTCCGGCCAGCCTGCGTCGAACTCCCAGCCCACGACAAGCGCCGCCTTGCCCTGGTATTCGGCGGGTATCCATTCCTCTATGGGAATACTTTCGCAAGACACGTCCAGGTCGGACCATATGCCGCCTTGGTCCCAGAGCAACAAGTAGCGCAGCATGTCGGCTTTGAAGATGGGGACGGGTAGCGCGAGGTATGTGTCGACAATGTCTGGGCGGAAAGCGAAGGTTTTGCGAACGTAGTCATCGTCGCTCCCATCTGTTACAAATTGGGCGCGGTAGCCCGGGTTGCGCTGGATACCGGTCTCTGTATAGTTTTGCGTCGCTTCCGAGAGGCCATTGGGGCCCAGCTTGTACCAGATGATTTTGGGGATTCCAGCGTGCTGCGGGACCGCAAAAGGGCCCGATGTGTAGCGAAACAACGGGCCTTTGCTGTAAAACAAGTGGTAGGTCAGCGCTACCATGCACAGCGCAAGCAGTGCATAGTTGATGATTCTGGGTAGCTGCAGTGGCCGGGCAAGCATGATGAAAGTCGAGACGAAGAGCTTGAGGGAAAGAGGAGAGGAGGAATGAGGGCGGAAAGCATAAAGCTACCGTAAACCTACCTGGCTCATCATCTCACTGTCTCGCCGAACGGGCGGGTACATGTAATATAGGAAGAGTGACTAGGCGCGGCGGCACGTCCGATAGTGCGCCATGGACACTAACTGCTTTGTGCAAATTTCAGCCCTGCCTTAATTGAGCCGCAAACTGCAGCCACAATACGAGCTGCTGGGGGGGATGGCGCAGTGGTGGAGCGCCTGGAAAATTTTCTGCTGTTTCACGTCAGCAAAGATCGAAGGTTCGAATCCTTCTCCCCTCACAACCATATTTATGGTCCACCCACATGAGAGAGTTACTCATTAAACTACCTATTCGACTGAGAGAGTTACTCGTTAAAACTTGAGAGGAAGACTCATTTAAAGTGAAAGATCTGAGAGAGTTACTCACTAAAAAACTACTAGGCTACGAGCCTCACCTTCATTTAGATAACCCCCTACATTGTACCTACTCAATTTGTACCTAGATTAAATTCTAGCCTACGTAGTTACTTGCAGGCCTTAAGCCTGCACGTCTTATATAGCCCTTTGGGCTGAGAAAGGACGTTAAACTACAATAAAAAAAATACGAGCTGCTGGCCGCATTCTACGCGGGCAAGTATGCGTTTATCAAGCGCCAGGTCGGGTACGAGCGGGTCGCGAAGTGACACTGACAAGTGGCGCGTCTCAGGGGCCCGTTCGCCTGCCATCCTGGGCCAAGACATGATTACCCATTCTCCACACAAGTGCTGACATGGCGGAGCCCAGTATTACTGTTATAACACACTCTGCCCCTCGCGTCGCGTCGCGCCCACGTCCACTTTCCACCGTCGCCTTGCACTCAAGCAGACACGTACGCAAGCGGAATTTCGCATACGTACCTGTTGTGTAAATGGTCCCCCATGTCCTGGACCCAGGTAAAGCCATGATCCAAGTCCAACGGCCCGAGCATGAACGGGCAAGGACAGGGGGCTGTGAACAGCGCGGAGTAGATGGCTTTTTACCTCTCATGTTGATCCTGACCATCGCATCTCAGGATGGTAAGCTGTGGCTTTTTGACCACAAAAGCGGAATAATTATGGCGAGGTGAACATTGTGTGGAAGAGCACTCCCGTGGCCTTTTCATGTCCTTCATTGCCGGGCCAAGCCAATAGTATCAACAGTTAATTAAGTGTTAAAGTACCCATCCACTCTGACCTAAGCAACGATAAGCCCAAGCACCAGTGTCGAAACAAGCATGAGAGCCAAGGTCACCCGAGGAAGTGATTCAGCTCCACGTGTAGCCCATGTGCGGAGTTCCGAGAATAGATGCAAGCCTGGTCATTACTCCCTACGAGTCATGTCAAACCTCACTTTCGTATCCCTTTTCAAAGCGCTGGTCTTGGCATTGTTCCCTATCCATTCCTTGCAACCTGCTCAACAACGTGACTGCTGCAGAGCTCGACTTGATGCTGGAGGGTAGCCATTATCTCTATAGATTTTGAGAGGAGGATGGAGCTAATATGGAATGATACGAGTTGTTGTAGGGGTTTGAGAGGAGCTTTGCAACTGGTCACGTGAGCGTCATTTCGTAGCGCTGATGAGTTTCCCACATCTTAGGATATCCTATCCAGTTAAGACGGACCGCAGCCTCGCGCCAACTCAATAGTGTATGTATTCGGCCATAGTAAACCTAAATATCATATGACGTGACAACGTCGCGATTCTCATACGACAAAGGCAATTAGTACATAGTAAGGGTGTATAACGACATTAGATTATGAGTCAAGACGAGCTGTAGTGCGTGTAATCTGAGAGAATGACAACAACAATTTTCTGCATTTCTTTATTAGATTAACTAGCGATAACCTGCATGGACGCGCAATGACCTAGGACGCGCAATGACCCACCCCACTAAAAAACCTATTGCAAAAGATGAGGCTGTACAGCCACCTACAGTCGCTATTATTACAAGATTTTATAGTGTTGTAGTAATTATAGCATTGCGATTATAATAGGCTACTTGTATCTACTTAGTAGCTTAGTAGTGCAGCTGTAGCGGGTGGTCTAAGTTAGGACAGCTAGTGCAGCCACCTTAGCTTATACATAAGATAAATTAACAACAACACGTTTCTAACGCTTCTGCTTTTAAGAGGAGCCTTATAAGGCTTTGCGCTTACCCCTTTGGGATAATTGTATAGCTTTTTTAGCCTCCCGGGCTGCCTTTTGAGCCTCCTTTTGAGCCACCTTGGCGGCTCTCTCCTTCTCTCTCACCTCCTTGAGCCTCTCTCTCTCAACACGCTTCTCCTGGGCTATTTGAAGCTTGTACAATTAAGCTTGTCTCCTTAACTTAGATCTCTTAGCTTTCTAGAGTTGTAATTGCTATTGTTCTTGTTGTCGTTCCATCTCATCCTCCTTGGCTTGGCGAACCTTCTTAGGAGACCAAAAGACAGCTCCTCTATAGTACTCCTCAGGCCTATTGAGTTAAAGCGTGTAGCTCTTCTTTTAGTGTCTCTTTTTAACCTTTAGAGCCTCCCTTAAGCCCTAGTTTTCTCCTTTAAGTATACTATTTTAAGCTAAGAGGTAATTGTAAGGGGCTGCGCTCCGGGGAGCAATCGCGAGGTATACAAGAGGTTGTATTCGATAAGGAGCTATCTACTCTGCTTACGTGGTGTTTATTTACTTATCGGAGAAAGGTTATGCCGGAGTATCTGAGCGCGTTGTCTGAGCGCTGCTCGGTCTGAACGTAGTTCAGATGGTGCGCGCGCAGCTTGGCCCGAGATTCCATCGAGGAGCTATCCAAAGGGCGTTCAGCCCGTTACAGTCATAGAGGCTTCGGCGAAGCTTTTTTACCTCCTTATTATTAAAATCCTTCACCTCCCAGCGTATAATAGACTTAATTTTAAGCCAATCATCTCCACTAAGGACAGAAGAAGAGCTTTCATCTAAACTAGAGGCCTCTTGTTAAAACTTTTAGAGAATAACCTTAGCATTTAGTAGGTTAATGCTAGTTGCCTTAAAGGAGCTTATAATAGTCTCCTTTCTAAAAGCTGTACCCCAAGCCCTCTAAAAGAGCTTAAAGAAGTCTCCTTTTGCTAGAGGAAGGATTCCATAGCTCTAATAGAGGAAGTTTGACAACTCCTTTAAGTAGGCTGACGCTAGAGGCCCAAACATCCCAACGTTAAGAGGCTAAAGCCTATAGGTCGAATAAGGAGGATATACAGCAACTAGAATCCTATAGCTGTTGCAATAATCTAGAAAATCTATAGTTACATGAGATAAGTGGCCATTAACAATAAGTAACTAGTACCTAGTTCAAGCGTAGCGTGCAGTCTCTCTTTTAAAGACCTCTTTAAGCCAAGCTAGGCCTATATTATTGTTAGTCCATCTAGAGGGCGATGAGGTAACAAAGACTGAGTGCTTGTTTGGATTAATAGCCTCTACCTAGGCTGATTTTAGAGCTCCAGCATCTAACTAAAAGATGAGAGATGGAGAAAGAGGTGTACCATCTAAGCAGATACAGGCTAGGACTGTAATCCACTCTCTAGAGCTATCTTGTAGGCTTAAAACAACTCCTCCTCTTTTATATTGCCTCTTACTAAAGATCCTTTTAGACCTTCTAAGGATTCTAAGTAAGAAGCCCTTTTTATTCATATTAAAGATGTAAGAGGGCTGTATATTGTACTCCTTTATCTTATTGTGTAACAGCTTAAAGTACAACCTATACTTAGTTGCTAAATTAGCCTTGTGACGCTTCTAGTCTATAGGACTCTACCAGCGAGAGATGAGATAAGAGGAGTTCCTGCAGAGGAACCTAGAAACCTAGCGTTCTAAAACGTCTCTACTAAGCAAGGATGACGCAAGATGGCGTATTATTAGACGCGAAGGTGGTGTACGCCTCTTAGCAAGGGATTTAATGTACTATACAAGCTCCTTTTCGCGTTATAGGTAGATAGAGAGGTAGGCGAGCGCGCGAGGCTAAGTTTTGCCTTAGTGTCTTTAAGCGAGCGTATAATAGCTAATGCTAAACCTTTTTGCAACTTAGCGATAGCTAAAAGATACGCCTAGTTCGCGCAATTTAATTTCTTTAATCGCTTCCTAAGTTAAGTCCATATTAGTAGAGTTATAAGGTATTTTGTGTAGGTGTTGAGTTTGGTGGGGTGGGTCATTGCGCGTCCTGGGTCATTGCGCGTCCTGGGTCATTGCGCGTCCTGGGTCATTGCGCGTCCATGCAGGTTACCACAATAGGCTTAGTACAGACAGTGCAGGTAGTGCCCCTCCTTGGATTACAACCATTATCCATCCAGAGGTTGAGTTTGCGACACAAACCCCCTAGTTAGCTTTTTCCTCATAGATAAGCGCAGGCGGCAGCGAGCTTCCATCGCTGCAAACGCAAGTATTAAGATCAATTTCGTGGCGATGTAAAAAGCGTGTACCACATGACTCTGATGCCTCTTATTTTGCGACTGCGCTAGCGAAATCGGTTACGATGTGCTCGAAAAGTACGAGGACGTGGTGGGTCGGACGAGGGATCAACGGCGGGTCTGTGGAGCTGTAGGGCGGCGCGATAGTGTATCTCTATAGCACGCAAGCTTTCGCGTTAGCTAAAGTCGCCTATTGCACTGCATATTGAAGTTGCACGATGGCTGTGTTAGAAGGGTTTGATGCTGGGCTTGTTTGTTGACATGAGCTAAACGCTGGGGTCTTTTCGGGTATCCTGAAGCGCTTGGCAAAAGCGTCGCACAGCCACTCAGCCACACAGCCACAGACGTAGCATCAGCAGCGATAGATTACAGCTAAGCTGCTTCGAGCTCGGTGCGCGGGCCTTCCCTATCTAGCACTTTTAGCAGGCAGACTTGCATTCAGCACAGACGCACGACGGTCTCTCGAGCTTAAGCGCAGTGCTTGGAATAAGACAATGATGTAATAAGTTGTAAGTTAACAGACTTTCGACAAGATGCATAAGCTTTCAACGCATCTACTGCTAGCTAAAGCGAGGCGGTCGCGTGACGCTCGTACTAGACTGTCGTATTGCACAGTAAGCTAAACCTATTTCTAGAGGACGTTAAGAGACGATAGACTTAATAGCTTAAGGCTGCTATTCTGAGAGTATTTATTCCTCTATCCTGTTGAGTTTATTATGTTAGGGAGTGTTTGTAGCGTCCCGTCACGCAGGGTGTCCCGCTACGCAAGGATAGACGTTACACCTAGACATGGTGTACTACACCGCACGCCTGGACAAGCGCTCGCTATCACCTGGCCATAATTATGTTTATGCTCATACTAATGCGTTTAGGACATGCACATTGTCATCATCCGTGATAATCACGACAACAAGATCTCATGAGCATGCATTTGCTTGCAAAATAGCTACCATTCTGTGTAATACGCAGAGTATCTACCCTACGTCAGTGTAATTAGTTTAGTTTAACCCAGCCGATTTCTACCTGGCAGCTATGAGTGTCATGAGATGCTGTTCTAACCAGAGACTGCTCAGCGTCACATCAAACACCCTCATTTTATGTGGTAGGTTTGACGTAGCTGAAAGTTAGTGTAGTTAATCAGTGCGTAGTACGTCATCTTGCTGTCGTAATATCAGTAATCGTCCTGTTTGTTACGTGGGTAAGCGTAGTGCGGAGTTCTATAAGTCTGGTACACGTTAGTCATAGTCTTAATTACTATTGGGGATTGAACAGAAACATGGAACGTTCAGAAAATTTTCAAAAAAAGCAATGGCACGATGACAGGGGTTTTTAATCCTCTTAGTAGTTGCCTACGCATATAAAGTAGGTGCATTGACACTTGATTATTCTTTAGATGAGAAGTAGTTATCTATGGTGTACAGCTTCTACGAACCACAGCTATTCACTTTATCTCTTCTATAATCGTGAAAATGACCGAGCGTTCCGTGGAGACTATCCTCAAGTATCATTTCTCCAACCATGAATTGCTAGAAGAAGCACTACTCGCTGCAGGGGCGTCAGTCTCCAGCAAAGATATACAGGGTGATGCAAAAGGCAATAAGCGCCTTGCTCTGTTAGGAGATTCCGTTCTGCAAGAAGCTGTTCTGGAGCCGTGGTATAACTCTAAGGAAAGTACTGGTGAGTGCACAGATACACAAACTTTTGTTAAGAAACTAACCTTATTAGAGGAGGGTCATAACAGGGTGAAAAGTTTATGTGGAAACAAGAGGTTGAAAGAAATAGCTCAGAGAAGCGGGATATCGGATTTCATTGCCAAAAACCCATGCCAAGAAGGTCAGGTGCCTCAAGAGACCGCTGCGTCGACAGTTGAGGCACTGGTAGGAGCAGTTTATATAGATTGTGGAGAGGACATATCAAAGGTCCATCAAGTCCTTGAGGCGATTGATTTTTTCAAAGAGTGATAAAAGTTGGTTTAGTATAATTTGTGATAAAGTTATGCGTAGTATACAATAATTATTATGTCATAGTTTATATCTAGGGAATCTATAATTAAAACACTACAGCCAAAAGAAATGAAGGACCAAAAACTGAATATCGAGATTCTCTAAGCTGTTTAGTTATCGTCGTTGTTGTTAAGAGAGAGCCGCGGTGGTCTTTCGCTACAGCAATTGTTCTGTTACTGGTGGATGGATATTATATTACTAAATATCGTGGTCAATTCTTTTGCGAGCACTTACTATTATTATAGACATAACTTTGTTACCTTAACGCCCATCCCTAAGTGCTGGGACAATGAGCGGTACTTCGACTTCGGGCACTTCGCTTTCCTAGCACACTCTAGTAATCGTTACAAGATTGTATCGGCAATATACTAAAGTGATTAACGAACTTGTTCCTCTTCCCTTACCTAAAATTTACGTTATGTCTCATAGTGGTCGGAAGAGAAAGCTTGAGCTAGTGCTTAGCTAGCTCGATCCATGGCTGCAAATATGTCGATAGCCTAGCAAAAAGGCAATAACCAGCAGCCTCGACGTAACCAAAGCGCGCCCTGTCGCTCTAATGACATGCGGCAGAGTATGAGCGGAGCTTGTGCTAAAAAATGACAAGCACACGATGGTGTCCCAGCACTCAGGGAGGGACGTTAGTCTATATACTTTGATCACCTCACGGCATGATATTCGATTCATCGCCAGGTTAAGTAGGAACAGCGTGTCGTACCCTTATCCTTTACGTGTGCAGGCGATGCTGATCAGGTCGCCACCACAAAAGGGACGACGTCTTGGGTTAGTGTGCGGGGCCCTACAATTAGTAATCCAATCGATCAGCAAGTGGCTTAGCTTTGTGGCCGTGCAGGCGCGGCTGCTTGGGAACGTGGATTCGCCTCCATCTCCTACTCATCAAACAACATTTCAGAACTCACCTAGTTCTAGCTTATTACCTTTCTACACGTATTTGCCTGCCTATAGCTTGTCCAGTTTGTCACGTCGATCGCCAAGCCTTTAACTGCATCCTACTCAAGCCGCCTACTGTCCATGTTTGCCGACTCCACCCTTTCGCGTCAACCTGTTCCGCAACGACCCGCTAGAGCGCCGAAGTACCTTTCTTCATCGTGTTGTGTAAGTCCTACTGCGCATGTTGCACTAAATCGACCTTCATTGTATCACGTTCTAAGTTATGGTTACAGGCCAGCACTTATTTTAACTCGCGCTGCACTTCGTCTTCCTTCCGTCGCGCTTCGTCTTCCCATCGCATGCGACCTCCTTATCCACTCCATCCGCGATATCATTTCTGTGGTTAGCCACGATGAGCCATATTGCTCCAAAGCGAGTTGTCCTCCGATGTCGCGAACAATACTTCAGAGAGCACGGGCGAATGGTTAAGACTTTCCTCGAGTCGCAAAATCTCCTAGATATAGAAGACTACGGGATACACATATGTGGAGATCCATCTTCTCCTACCACTCTATATCTCGTCCTCGATCTTTACTGCAGGGAGGTCCCCATTGTTGATCTCAGCAACTTAGAACTCCAAGTCTTCAAAGTCTCGAAAAATAATACATTGTGCGTTATTTCCTTCAGCTATAGGACGAAACTAAGTCAGAAAAATCTAGTACTTTTAAAGATCTTGGTGAGAATGCTAGCAAGAAGGCTTACGAACGATCTCTTACACTAGATTAGGGAGCAAACCAATCTAATCAGAGGAGTTAGACGGCGTTACCCCCTTACATACAGGACAGTCTCTAGCTAGGTTTGTATCTTGAGCGTCGCGAGTCAATGGAAGGTCCCTTAAAAATCCAGACGGTGGTATGCATGGGTCTCTGTTAGGACAATTGAGTGCTGTTGCACAATAGACAATGTGGTCTCGATTCTTATGAGGAGGGTTGCGTGTACATGATTGGTATGTTTTACAATTCTAAGAACACATATTTGCAAGCAGTAAATATGTTTTGGGGCTAATGCAGAGTTGGTGGTGGAAATGTTTCCCCTTACTTTCTCGTATCATCAAGTTTTCGCAGTGACTTTTGGAAGGCACCTTACTAAAATAGGCCAAGTGGCAGGTGAGGGCTGCATCCGCTATCTGGCCCAATCCTGTGATGATACGCCACGTTGCAAGGCCGTGATTTGCGCTCCCATTGACTCGCTAGGTAAAGCGGAGGGATAGTTACACGTCTTCCATTCACAGTATGATATCAATTAATGTATATTAATCGTAACAGTGATGGATATCGAAAACTCCTATTTTATACACGTTACTCCGCTCCTTCGCGTGTAATTGAATCTTTGATTCTATTGTTTTCTGCTCGAAGTCGACCAAGATTTCTATAGCTCAATTTCGTAGTAACATTTTTCTATATATTTCTAGATGTTATCTACTTTGCGCTTGACAGGTAAAGAAGGAACCTCTTTACAAACATTCCGATTGTTAATGCACCCAAAAGGAACATAGAGCCCTTGCGCCTTGATCATTAAGCTTAAGCGGGTAGGCATACCGCTAATCATTGTTGGTTCGCTTGTTATGCCCGTGATCGCTATCGAAAGTTTGTCTTCCAAGTTTTTAACTATGAGACTTGCTAATCTTCAATATATAGGGGCTCCTCGCGGCACTAATTAGGCACAAGGAAAAGTCTAGCCTCCAATGGTAAAAAAGGAATAACTCGCAAGCAATGTTTTGTATAAATTTCGACGGGCCAAGAAGTCCAATGCTAGTCGGCAGCATATCGTTCCGCAGCATTGGTAAGAGCCTCCTTCAAGCAGAGTTAAACTATCAACTTCAAAGTAAAAGATTAAAGCGATCATAGTATCGTTAATTTTGCCAATATGAGGGTTGATCTCCACCAGCTTTGAGACTTCTTCTTTGAGATCCTGAATAATAGCGACGTCGTCAAGGGCTGGCTCTGTTCCTAGAAACGACAAGTTTAAACGATTGCAACGGGGGCGTATCTTGGATGAAACGCAGCGAATAAATGTCTTCCACTGCTCTTCTCCATCCATTTGGCGCATGGAGTTGCCGAGCAACCTTCGCATAAAGCGATCTCTTTTGGGAGAGTGTGGACCTACCTGGTGCTTCTCAGTGGACGATGTACCGGTACCAAGTGATATTAGATGGTCAAGATGGCTTTTATCCGTATCAAACAACTGGCACTTATCAGGCCAAAGCACGGCACATTCCCAGCTTGCAAGGAGAGCCGGATTGTTATGCTAAAGGCCTCCGTCCTGGAAAGTATCCAGATGGTCCACGTCTTTGGACTTGAAAAAGAAAGGTGCTGCTGAGGTACAGGCCGCTCTAAGTATTAATTAGCGTGGAGTGTTGTTTCAAGGCAGTTGCTAAAGTCTTACGCATCGCTGATAGTCATATCATGATGGCAATTCGCTGCACGGATATAGGAATAGTCTGTTACTAGTTAAGATTGGTCCAATGAGAGTAAAAACCCCTAACTGAGCTTACTACTATTATCTGATCTGGTTCCTCTATTGTAATTGGCAATAATACACGGCACATTTTCCCGGACACTTGTTGCCGTTACTGCTACTTTAGTGTCGTTCTAAAGTGGATTGAACATCTTTGCTAACGAGTATGGATTGAATGCACGCTCAATTGGTGAGAGGTTATAACGATGGTCTTGAACCCATGCCCGGAAGATACGTTGTAATTTTTGCGATATTAAGAGAGAATAGTCTTTTCCCTTAAATGTCGCCTTGGAAAGCTCTTTGAAGCGATCTAGACATGTTGATAGGTCCTAATGCATAAGAAATATGCCAATGGCAATTAGACCACCTATGTCACGTTTAGCCTTGCAAAATATCGACATAATGTACTCACCTGCAGATGTGCCACATACATAGTCGAACAGATCGTGTATGGAGCTTCCAAGATGTCTTATCTGACTTTCCAAATGTTTGAGAAACATCAAAGGTATGACACCACGTACACCGCCACCATCTACACACAGAATGCGTATCCTGGCAGTTAGTGGGATTAGGGTAAAATTTCTTTGATTAGTGGGTTGAAAAAATCTACAGAGAACACATTGCTCTATTTCGTAGCTATGCCTTTTACTATTAGAAGGTTGCCCGAAACGTCAGACGCAAACGTTGCATATTGCATGACCGCAAGCGAGCACCTTCTCGGGCGCAAACATAAGGTAGCAAAGGCACGAGCGGAAACTCTTAATGCTTGCTAGATAAGGCCAAAGTAACTCAACACAATGGGAGTGCTGAGCCCGCGCATTTTCTACTTTGGGCTTAAATTCAAGGCGGCGGAAGTGATCTTCCAACTTCTCTCGGATCAAGGAGAGGAACTTTGTATGTATCTCTGGATCCTGGGCATAGCTTAGTATTGCCTCTTTACAAGGTTCCGCAAAGAACTCTTCAAACAGTGCTACGGGTTGAAAGTCTACTAAACGTGAGTAAGGGTTTATATGATATAGGCTACGGGAAACATACTATGAGAGCCAGGTGGATAGCTTGAGAGAAACATAGTTGAAGCTAATAGCGGGCACAAAACAGACCACAGCCATTCCGCACTCGGCATCAGCATGAGTGCTTCTTTGAAGTGCGAACTTAGTTGCTTATGATCAAAACAAAGCGGCCGCGACTCGCGTAAGAAGTTGAAACACGACTTGGCTCCGCAGAAGTTTTCTACTATACGGGTAGAAAAGGCTTCAATATGCTTTAGTTGAAAGAGATACCCCTTCCTCCGTCGATTCTAGTACACTTCTTGTGTGAGCATCTGTCTCTTCTGCAATCCTAAAAGGCTGATTCTACTAAATCTTTAATCTATCCTTTGCATTGCAGTGTACGTAGATAGATCGGTTGTGAGACTCCTCATTTCTTTGATAATAAGCATCCTAAGCTCTTCTTGTACACTAAAAGTATTGTAGAGCTTGGAGCTTGTCGATGTAACTACTAAGATGTGGGGAAGTACGGGAGCGGGTAGATTATGAGACAGTGGTAACATGGCCTGCTGCGCCAATGCAGAGGCGATCCCTTTGAGCCCACCATAGTCTGCAGCGAAATAGCATACGATGTTTGATATTGGCGTGAGAAGATGCGACATTACTTGATCTAAAAAGTCGGTTGCAGATGTAGTATTTGGGCAAAACTAGTTAATGGAACTGCGCTTGGAGAACTTTTGGGTAGTGTTTAGGGCCTCGCTAGTCCTGAGAGAGATCTCAGAATCAAGATATATTGTCGAAATATCATTATATCCTGGTCGGGATTGTAGACGTATTTGGCTATGTCGCTCGAAGGGCTTTGTGTACCCTAAAAGACTTGCTAGATATCTAGACTTTGTTCGATCACCGACGAAAGAGATAACTAAAGGCCTTGTCTTAGTCTCCTTTACGCTATTAACCTAGAAGCAAGAGCGGTGAGTTGAAAGACATATATTCTTGTGTGAGTACAAGACACTAATCCAAGGTTGCGGTGCCATGTTGTTTCTTGTATGATTGATATTGTTAGTGAACATGCTTCGCTAAATATCGTTTCGAACAGCTCAACGATCCCAATTTCGTTTCTATTTTTTAGAATAACAATAGTGGCTATCTCGTCTAGTTGTATGTGTGAGGACGAACTTCCCAGTTTCCAAAATCCGAATACGGGATTTTGCCGTCCCGATTAGGGTAGTGCAGAAGATGAGATTGAAGCAATACTGCGACCCCGCAGCCCCCTTACATCCAGCAGAAACGGCTGTTCTATCTACATCCCATTATGTCGCTCCCAGAAAATTCCCTCAGCGCAAAGAAAGCTAAGTCATTTCTAGGGAGGGCCCAAATAGACCTTTAGCGACTCTAATTTGGTATCGCCTTGAGCAACAAGCATCGTGAAGAGTTAAAAAAAGCACAACAACGCCTGCTGAAAGTCTTCGAGTTCGAGGGATGTCGTCGTCTGGATCACGAGAATTTTGTTGATGGGTTGATTAGTAGACAGTGCTTTAATACCGCTTTGTTCAGAAAAGGCCTAACCTAAGAGACTTTCAAGGACAGCTGTAGTACAGCAGATGGTTGCGTTCAAACACCAATAAAGCTTGACCTCAACTCCTCTATACAATGTTTAAATGGCCTGCAAAGAATTTAGGCAGCAGAAGCGTTTTTAGACAACAACAATAAGTGGTGGATTGTAAATCTTTACGAAGATGCAAGTAAGCGATATTAAGGAAAGGAAAGTATTCTGGACGTTGGACTGATGGCATAGCTTTCAAACGCACATTAGAAACACATCTCTACGAATCATACAATCATGAACAATAATATACAGATGGTATCATTTTTCGCAACATAAGGCGCTATGCTCGAGCTCATGATGCAGAAAATGAAAAAAAGTGGTGGGCTCGCTTAACAGCGACGAAGCGGAAAGACCTCACTCAACTTCTTCCAAACCACAAGCTTTCACTAGCATTTGATGCACTGATTGATTATGCCGGTCTGTGGACGCCTATCTGTCTAGGAACCTTACATTAATTCTATGCATTAAAATGCACAAAAGTACAAATCTAATCCTAAAGTCATGGCTCTTGCTCACTAAAAATTCAGGAATTAAAGTCTTACCTCCGACATATCTATACAGTTTGGGAATTGATAATTCCAACTAAGTATCGAATGCATGTTGACAGTCGCACTGTGTCGATACTAGAGATGTTAGCACCGTTAGCATCGACTAATGACGCTGCTAGGGTGAGGCAGCTGATGCTAGACAGATGCATATTTCCACAGCTGGAAGATATACACGCTCGAAACGAAATTTTGAATCGTATCTAGTCCTAAAAATGTATGATCCCGTTCTTACGCACGTTTTTCGAGGATCAAAAGTACCTGGAGCCATGCAGCAAGATTCTGAAGCAACTTCTCGGAGTGAAGAGTAAGCGACCAATATGGAAAGAGTTCAAAGCAAACTACTGGGGGCATGAAAGTGAGATCAAAGTCCAAATCTCCGAGACCAAAAACTTGCTTTTGCCGGGACCACTAGGAAAAAAGGAAAGAGCTAAACTCGGGTATCTCCAGTCGTGGATGTTTTGTTTTCGGCATTGGCCTGAGATGACGTCTTTTACACCGCGGCTCGAGAGTAGGCTGAAAATTACTGATGAAGCGGATGTAGGAAATATCGAAGTAAGACCTAAATCAGCGCGGAGGGATCACAATCCTGCTCTGTGGCAGAAACTTGCCTGTTTGGCTATGCAAGTTGGCTTCGAGACATCAAACATTTGCAAGCTTGCGGAAGAAGATGCGGAGATGGTTTAAGCCAAACAGTTCTTAAAGTTGGCACGACCTGAGTGGAAGTCGAATAGAAGTGACTGCGAGAGGAAGATTGCTGATATTTTGAAGAGTATGCAGGAGACCAGTTCGTAAAGCCCCTAAACCCCCATATGGGTTGATGACAGAGTAACGTCGTGGCCAAGGGAAAAACGATGTGGGAAACCGCATGAAGCGGATCACGAACACGACAAATCAGTGATGTTTGCAACTATGTTCTACCATCCTCTACAATCTAGCCAGACAATCACATCTGCTCTTGTAAAGCGCAACGTCCTGGAAGCTTTCTTTAATAAATACATCACACTAGTATGTCTTTTAAACCTAAAATGTTTTAGTACACTAAGTAAATATTTAGATACGGCCTGAGATGTCAATTCTTATTTAATTATTAGAAAATAAGACTGTAGTACATGACAAACACCAGCAACTACTCTACTTAGCTACTGCATCAACTAAAGTGAACCATCTTCAGGCAGAACTGCAGCAACTAAAGGAAGAGAGGGAAAGGCTATGTGAGCAACTAACGAGCACGCAACTTGGAATGAACACACTTAGAAACGACTTGTTGAATTCTAAACAAGAAGGGGTAGCACAGAGCATAAAGAAAACTTAGCTGGAAAAAGAATTAATACATCTAAAGGAGATCAATAATGCGTATCAAAAAAAGAATGCCAAACTAACTAAAGAATTATCCAACCTAAGAAACGCAACCAGCAATATTTTCAATAATGAGCATCTCGACGATTTTTCAGACAATGAGCATCTCGACGATATTCTGGGACGGCAGCATGAGGGGCCTTCTGGTGCTGCATTACCAAAGCTGGACGTTGAAAAGGAAAAGCAAGTTGTGGGGAAGGGAAAGAGGCATTTTCGTGAAGACGACGTATTGGCCGAGCTAAGTAGCCGGCATTAGATATTGAAGTTCCGAAATGCAAGTATAGCAACAATATGCGAACCCATATTTGAAGGATGCAAGGAGTCGTTGTGGCGGTATGACATACAACAAATCATGTCTTGGAGATTATCAAATGCCGGTTATATCAACATATGCATCTTAGCACCAACACCAACTTCGAGTTTTCTGGAAACCGCTAGAAAAGCACGCTATCTAGGAGAACCGACCACGTCTTATATAGCCCTTCGGGCTGAAAAAGGACGTTAAACTAGAATAATAATAGGAGAACCGACCACGAGGAATCGACTAACAGCACTTTCAACACCTGCAGCTAAGGCGCTAGCGCGCAGTAGGGAGAAGAAGGAGGCCTTCCTTCGTTTTCTCACGCCTATAAGAATTTTCTCACAGAGCTTAGGCTCTAATGCCAAGACTAGAGGGGCTAATAGGAACGCAGGAGCTTATTAAAGCTTAAATTTAGCAAGAAACATAGACATATCAAAATAATAAAAATAACAAAAAAAGACTAGCCTTAAAGGACCTTAGAGGCAAAAGCAAACGACTAATAGATAATAATCTAGAAATTGAGATGGCTAAGGAGGCCTCTACGCCTTGCCCTAACAGGCAAACAGAAGAACCGCCTAGGCCTACCCA